TGTGTGATATATTTGATCTTGCGGGTTTTTTTTTCTTTGGTCTGGTGTGTGTGTGTGTGTGTGTGTGTGTGTGTGTGTGTGTGTTTCTATATTCTAAGTTGTGTTTTCTATGCCTTGATGGATGTGTTGTGTTGATTCTACAACTGTTTTGTGTGGCTGTGTGAGTTATTTGTGTGTTGAGTATCAAATTTTGTATAATAGTTGTGAGTTTCGTTATGACTCTGGGTAACTGAATCATACATCCTTTCTTCAGAACTACTATAGTTGGTAAGAAATCAGAAATCAGAAACTTAGGTGTCTGTTGTTATGTACATGTGTGTATAATGTACATATGTTCCATCTGTGTGTTCTAGAGCCTCTGATTGGCTCCTGTGAAGTCAAATTTCTCCTTACCGGTCTCTCACCAGTAATGATTCTTCACTGGGTAGACAAGCTCATGTGTATTTCATTACTGTGCAACTTATATAAAGACTGAGAGCCCATTGTCAGAAAATAATAGCTGGGTACAATCATCAGTCTGGCCCTGTACCTTTTTGTGTCCTTAATAGTGGATAGAGCTCTCTGAGATGCATACTCCTCACTATCTTTTTAAAAATATTTTAATTTTCCTGGATCTTGCTGTTATGATAGGATATTTACTCACATATAAGGGATTGGTGCTATGGACCGCAAAAGAGGGAAAACATACGTATCTTGCTTTCCTGAAACATGGAGATAAATCCCAAAAGTGGAATAGTAGGGAACAGATGCTACCAGAGGGGAGGTGGGGAAAGCGGGAGTGTTTGGATGGGAGGGAGGAAGGACACTTATGCAGATGACCATGGGAGTAGGGGGTGAACTCAGGAGAGGTAAGTGGGTGTTATCTTGGTAGAGAGTGGGGAAAACAGGAGTGCTTGGTTTCAGGAGTTAGGAGGGAGGTCAGACTGGTGGAGAGAGAGGAGAGATGAATGGAGTTTGGGTGGCATGGGAAGCCAGAGGTAAATGTGTTGACTTGGGAACGCCCTGAGAAATACACATAAGGTGTCTGAATATAAGTGCATGTGTATACCTGTGAACTGTATGTTAAGGAGCACAGATCCAGACAGGAGAGACCTCTGTTTGAGCAGTTGGTCAGAGTAGTCCAAGAGGCTTGCAAAATAACGCAGGCTATTGGAAGAACCCTTAGTCATCTGCCAAAATTTGAAGGTAAGATCCTACTGCTAAAGACAGGACATACTGCAGACACTGGACTTGAGCAATGGAGCCAAAACTGACCTGGAAGCCTTCTCCCTGAAGACTAGCTCTCATAATTCTAGAATATACTACGCCCACTGCTAATTGAGAAAACACTCAGTGGTCCAATCCAGCTCTAAAGCTTAATAACCACAATGACTGGCACAGCAAACTACTCTATTGGTGCCATTGTGGCACTGTTATGGCACGGGCAAGAAACAGCAATTTAATTAGACTTAAAGCTTTCCCCTTGTGGGGGGTACTCATGGGTGGTACTATAATTACAGTTGAATCCACATGGCTCGAAAGGTCAGAGATCCTAGAGAAAATATCTGTCTTATCTCTAGCCAAATGAAATTTCGCATCATATGCTAAATAGGGATCCTTATGTTTATAGACAAGGGTAATGTACATCATTCATCAAAGAAGCTTCATTTTACTGGAGGCTACTGCAGAGTACCACAACTGGTCACACACAGAGAATATACACCTGAGAGATGCCCAACCCTAGGTGATGCATCTACAGTGGAACCCCTATGCCTAAGACTCATGGAATATGGTGGAACAGGAAGGGGGTGCTGGATAGCTTTAGTGTCAACTTGACACACCTGGGTTGAGGAAGCCTCAATTGGGGAATTGACTCCATTGGACTGGCCTGTGTCCATGTCTGTGGGGCATCTTCTTGATTGTTGAGTGATGTGGGAGGGCCCAGCCCACTGTGGGTATTGCCACCTCTGGGAAGGTGGGCCTGTATTGGATAAGAGAGCAAGCTGAGCAGGGGCCATGGGAGCAAGCCAGTAAGTAGCGTTCCTCCATGGCCTGTGCTCCAGTTCCTGCTTCCAGGTTCCTGGAATGAGTTCCTACCTTGGGCTTCCTGATGAACTGCAACCTGGGAGCTGTAAGCTAAATAAACGCTTTCCTCCCCAAGTTGGTAGTGGTCAGAATGTTTTGTCACAGTGGTGGAGAAACAAACTAAAATGGGGGAAGGGAATATTAGTGCATCCTTCAGTTCTCACCAGTGACGCTTCCTTATACAACAGAGCATGATGCACACAGAAGGGCACAACTGACTAAGTTTTAGAGAATAAAACTGTAGAGTGTGTATCTGTGAATAGAACACCTATATTAAATCTCACTCACCCACAGCTCAGGTACCATTGCTGAAGAGGAGGTAGAAAGATTGTAAGGGTCAGCGTTGGTCCGTGAACAAAGGAAAACAGATTCTTTCAGGCCACAAGAAGCTTGCTCATGTGAACTTTTGGCAATGGTGGTGTTGTCCACAAGACCAGTGGCAACTCAATCAGATCAGGACCGAGCACAGAGTGGGGGAAATGCACTGGGCAGCAGGCTTACCCTAGCATGGGAACTGCTGGGAACTGATTACTAATGGGTGAGGGATACTAGATCTTCCCTAAGAGCTCTAGGTGGGATGACAAGAGTCCAATAGATGAACTTGCCCAAGGAGCCATCTCTCTGGCACCTGGTAGATCAGTTTAAAAAAAAGAGATTTTCTCATGAGAGCACCTGTGCATCTTCTTTCAAGTCACACAGGGTGACCAAAAGGAATTTCTTCCCCTGCTCACCTGCGGATGAAATTATTGGTTCACCAAAACACAGAATTTGATTTAAGGCTCATTAAAACTGTGAGCTTATCCTGAGGGTAGAACAGCCTAGATTTTGTCTGACTTACTTTTTGGAGGCCACTTCTGAATCCTTTGCCCTCCCTCAAGGAAACTGCCTGATTCGGAACCTTTGCGTAGTTTGATTTTCTTTGTGCTATACCTTAGATTCTTTTCCTGTATCCTCTCACTTTTCTGATGAATTTCTGAAGCAGTCCCTCTCTCTTAATCTGTTTGGGATGAAGTCCCTTCTTAAATGTCCAAGGTGGATTATGTTGGCAAGAACAAAGGAAGCAGATTCATTTACAGAGCATTTGTTGTATTACACCACCTATTTACCTTCATCATTGAGTGTGTCTCCAGCGGTCTCTTCCACACAAAGAAGGATTTGAATCCAGGTCATTTTTGTTTGCTTAGCCAGCCATTAAGTTTGAGTATTTACTTGACCTCCAACTTGTGGATTTTCTTCCAAACACACTTGAGTTGCAAACATTTTGATTTACCATTGGCTGAAATAACATGGGTTGTCAGACCTCATCAGAGGTTTAAATAAGTATGTTCTTCCTCTTCCCATGGGGAGAGATGATACCTTTACCCCTCTGCTCCTCTCTGCTCTTAAAGAGGCTTCTTTCCTCGTCTTCTGTCTGTGATGTATCATTTCTGAAGCATTATCTCTTTATATGGCTTAGGCTGGCCCAGAACTCTATATGCAGCTGATGCCATCCTCAAACTCAAGACCCTCCTGTGTTGCCTTCCTTAAGTGCTTAGATTGTAGGTTTGAAACTCACACCCTTCATGGACTTTCTAATGTATGAATGAAGGTGTAGGACCAGTAGATTGGTGACAAGTAGGGCATCTGATCATACTGACAGGGCCTGGAATTATGAAATCAGGTATTACTTTAATGATTAGAATCAATTACTTATCAACCGTGAGATTTAGTTTCCTGATACCTAAATTTAATGGTACATCAATGCCTTTGTCCTAGTAGGAGTTCATTCAACATCAATTATGATCAAATTTATGATACATTTTCAGAATTGGTTGTAATTCCATCATTATGACTACTATGAATTGAGTAGACTCAAAATCCTGAAGTCATGATAAAGTTCTGAAGATTCTGGCATGGCAGGTTCTGAGGTCTGTTACTATGAATGAAACCTTTACCGAAACAGAGGGAGAGAAGTGTGGAGAGAGGAGAGGAATCAGGGAAGAAGGAAGGAGATAGGGAGAGAGAAAGAGAGAAACTGGGATAGGAAGAGGGAGGGGAGAGTAGGGTGGAGAGGGGATAGAGTTAGGTGGAATGAAAAGACAAGTTTTCTATGCCATTGCTGCTCTTAGGGATTTAATCCCCATCACCATGGTCTAGGTTCTGAATTGCTATGTCCTCAGGGACTGTGCAATTCCAGGTGGTCAATGATGTTTTTTATCAGAACAGGGTCTGTTCTAAGGCCCACCTGGGTGGAGAGGGGATAGAGTTAGGTGGAATGAAAAGACAAGGTTTCTGTCATTTTTCTATGCCATTGCTGCTCTTAGGGATTTAATCCCCATCACCATGGTTTAGGTTCTGAATTGCTATGCCCTCAGGGACTGTGAAATTCCAGGCAGCCAATGATGTTTAATGTCATAACAGGGTCTGTTCTAAGGCCCACCTCAGTCTTCTATTGTTCTGAGTCCTGGAGTTTGATATCAGATTTTCTGCTGAATTTGTCCTACTGTACTGTCTGTCATAGACAAATGATGATGTGAAGGTATCTGCCCTTAGGTTATTTCATGCACTAACATAGATTTTCCCCATATTCTCATGGCTAGATGACAGCATTATTGCTTTATTGAAGGAATTCAGGGACACACAGTAATAATGGCCCAAGGAAACTGAGAATGTAAATTTCTGAGACTGGGGCCACCTCAAGCCTCCTGGCAGCAATCCTGTTACTCTTGCTCAGTATTCTATGAAATGCTTATAGATTGTGTGCTCCAGGAGGGAATTTTATTATCTGTTATGTTTCCAGTACTGAAAATACTGTATAGAAAACCTGTGAATAAGACTGCAAAGGGTGGAGTTTGTCTGAATTTCGGTGCAGGCCCCTGTAAAAAAGCATGCATTTTATGTGTACCTGCTGAGAAGCTCAGGACTCTGACATTTCTTTCTGCCTTAATTCCTAGCAGGAAAAGGACCATGAGGAAGGGGAACCAGAGCAGTGTGTCTGAGTTCATCCTCCTGGGGCTCCCCATCCAGCCAGAGCAGCAGGGCATCTTCTTCACCCTGTTCCTGGCCATGTACCTGACCACGGTGCTGGGGAACCTGCTCATCATCCTGCTCATCAGGCTGGACTCTCGCCTCCACACCCCCATGTACTTCTTCCTGTGCCACCTGGCCTTCTCTGATATTTCCTTATCATCTGTCACCGTCCCAAAGATGCTCACCTCCCCATCCAGCCAGAGCAGCAGAGCATCTTCTTCACCCTGTTCCTGGCCATGTACCTGACCACGGTGCTGGGGAACCTGCTCATCATCCTGCTCATCAGGCTGGACTCTCGCCTCCACACCCCCATGTACTTCTTCCTGTGCCACCTGGCCTTCTCTGATATTTCCTTATCATCTGTCACCGTCCCAAAGATGCTCAGCAACATGCAGACTCGGCACCTGTCCATTTATTATGACGGGTGCATCACTCAAATGTTTTTTTTCTCACTTTTTGTGTGTGTTGACAATTTTCTTCTTGGAGTGATGGCGTATGACAGGTATGTGGCCATCTGCCACCCACTGCACTACATGATTATCATGAGGGAGGAGCTGTGTGATTTTTTGGTGGCTGGATCTTGGTTCTTCTCTTGTATGAATTCCCTGCTGCACACCCTGCTCCTGTCCCACCTGTCCTTCTGTGCTGACAACATCATCCCCCACTTTTTCTGTGATCTCAATGAACTCCTGAAATTGTCCTGCTCAGATACTTCCCTCAATGACATAGTCATTTTCATTGGGACTCTTGCAGTTATTTATTTCTTTCCTTCCTCAAATAATTCCCAAGTTAAAGATGTAATTGCTTCAATAATGTATACAGAGGTGACTCCCATGCTGAACCCCTTCATCTATAGCTTGAGAAACAAGGACATGAAGTTGGCTCTGGGGATACTTTGGAAAAGACGAGTTATTTTAGCAAAGTGAGAGTTATGTACTCAAGTTCATAATTATCCTAGAGATGCTTCCAGAGATGCTTCCTTAAAATTGTATGTGTAAGTGGCTGGAGAGGTGGCTCAGCAGTTACGAGCTCTAGCTATGCTTGCAGAAGATCCAGGTTCGAATCATGGCTCCCAAACGGCAGCTAACAACTATCTGTAACTCCAGTTTCAGGGTATCTGGCAATCTCTTCTTTCCTCCACTGACATTGCAGAGCATGGGTGCACTTACCTACATGCAAGCTAAACACACGTATGTGTAAAATAAAAATAATAAATAAATTTTTTGAATTGTATGGGTAAATAGAGTAAATTGTGGAAATGACCACAGTATTCTGCACTTTTCCATTTTGGAGTTTATTTCTCCACTCCTTGAATATCAGCAGATCCTTTGACTTGATTTGACTAATAGGTTTGGTGGAAGTGGTTTTGAGATCTGCATGCTTAGAAAGGCTTTGTTCCTTCTATACTCGTAATTATGAAGTCACCATATAAGTTAGCTGAAGATAGTCTTCATGAAGATCAAAGCTAACATGGCGGAGAGCAAAGATGCTCCAGCTAGCACTTCTCCAGCAAAGTAGACTTCATAAGCCCTTCATAGGGCTCTGATGTGTCCTAGTTGAGATGATCTGAATTGAACCAAGTTCAGAAGTACCATTCACCTTAATATAGTGGCAGGCTAAATGTGGACACTATAATATTACTATGTAAACAAATGTATGAAAGACTATGTTTGGGACTGACATGTATCATAAGCTAACTGATGCAGTGACTTCCTATCACTGATGTCCTCAAAACTTTTCCTTTACTCTGTCTTCCCTCCTGTTCTGATCCTCTGATTTAATGGTCTTCCTTCCCCACCTTCTAGATCTCATTGGCTTCAAACGTACAGTCTCACAGTGTGCAATTCTCATGATCGTAACCTTCGCTGTGTCTACTGCTCCATGCTCTTCTCCCCTTACCTTTTTGATCAAGTGTAAAGTAATATTTGCAAACACATTGTCTCCCTTTCTACATAAGTTGTCATGATATTAAAATACATAGACCTATTTTTGAAGGGAAATATATCATCAAAAATGTGTGTTTCTCTATTTTAATACTTTATTATTTTTATTTTATGCATATGAGTTACTTGCCCGCATGTGGGTAAGTGCACCTGTGTTGTGCAGTGCCCGTGGAGGACAGAAAAGGCCGACAAATCCCCTGGATCTGGAGTTACAGACAGTTGTTAGCTTCCATGTGAGTGCTGGGAATTCAACCCAGGTCTTCTGCAAGAACAACCAGTGTTCTTAACTGTTGAGCCATCTCTCCAGCCCCTTGTGTTTCTTTTGCAAATAGTTTATTGAGTTTTTGTTGCATTTCATATAATAAATATTAATCAAATTTAGGCCCTTTCCAGTCCCAAAGCTTCACTGGTGAGAGTTGAGGATGCATTAATATTCTCTCTACCCCCTGTTTCACTATGTTCCATGAGACTTAGAAGTAGAG